TGCTGCTTCATCTCTCTGCTCACTCACACGAGGAGAGGACTCTTCACTTCTCCCCCTCCGCTCACACACTGTTTTGAGCAGAAACCTGCACTCCCTTTGTCTCAGAAAAACAGGGCGTTCCTTCACACAGAAAAACTAACTTTTCAGCGCGCTTTGAGTCTGTCTGCGATGGGATTGGTCAGTATCCAATCCAATCAGAAGTGGTTTACATCGTGTTACATTATATAAACAGGAAATGAAATCAATCTGTGAGAGCCTCTTCAAAGTAAAACAGGAAGTGGGTCAATTTCAAAATAAAATAAGAATTGGGAGTCAGACTCAAAAAGGAACAAATATTATTCCACAACAATTCCCCCTTTCGACCTCATAAAAAGAGGTCGACATCAAGTGGAAGAAAATGCTTCTCTGCGCCGAAGTGGTTGAATCTCAAAATCAGAAAGTTCATATCCTCTGCGCATTAGGAGCTGACGAGCTATCTCAGGGTCACGCTTCTCTAAAGTGGAAGTGATAAGACGTACTGACAGAGATCTCAGGCAGGGAATACAACAACATCCACATGTGATTAAAATAGCTGCAAATACTGCAATGGACATTAACATGGACACAATCATCTGCTTCCAGGGGCCAAACACTTTGAAGAGCCATTCATCAAGAGGATTATCTACACCAGAGTGAGATTTCATCTCATTAGACAACGTTCTCAAACCTTCAAGTGCACGAGTCACTTTTCCATCAGGGGCAGTGTTATTAGGAATAAAACTACAACACAAGTCACCAAACATGCTACACACACCTCCTTTCTCAGCTAAAAGCATATCAAGAGCCATTCTGTTTTGCACAGCCATCAGAGAAGTCGGAGCTAGTTGCTCCGCTAAGCCCTCAACAGCGTCTCTGGTAAGGTTGGACAGACGCATGACATTGTAATGTATGTAATTTATTCGATCAACATTTTTATTTGGTGTAATTGGGAAATATGCTGAAACAACAGGTAAATTTTCAAAACCTGTCGCAATCTGATCTACTAATTTGTGCTCATCAGGAACTCCCCTAGGGATTCCAATGGCATCAATATAAGTAGTAGAGCCCACAGTGGGGTCAAAATTATGAGTTGAACGTCTCTTCCTAATGGGAGAGATGGAGGTGTCATTTAAAACTTCCAAACGAGGGCCAATCAAGGTTAACGATGCAGCTAAGCGTACTAATGCACACAATCCCACAGTATCCTGAGGGATATGTGTTAATAAACGTCTACCACCACAATAATAATACAAATTAACACTCTGTTAATATACTGCTCATAATTGATTATAGGTATTTCTTTTCAACGTTACAAACTGAATATACTTATCACTTTCAAGCTAAGTAAATAAATGGATGCGCTCTAAATCAAGACTGCAATTAAAAGATAAGAGAAAAATGGTTAGTACACATGTCATACAATATTGTTACAATCACAAGTACTCAGGGCATACCCTGGGGTGCTCAGAGACCGATCCTCCTATGTCTCTGAGTTTTCTTCATGAAGTGTGAGACTCTAAGATGTCGTGTTTTTGTCGTATCTAGGTGTCTGTACTAAATGTGGATATTCCAGCACCCAGTGACCCACTCAAACAAAGTCCTTCAGGGCCCGCACGCAACTTTACCAGGCTGCTTCGGTCTACAAGACATGAATGTCCAGTTTTACGACTTTAGATGGTTTCTGCCAGCTCTCTCGCTCTTCCTGGCTCTGAGGCAGGCGCACACTGGCTCCAGTGGTACCAAACGTCCCCCTTTCCTCTGAGGCGGACTGCGTGGGACGTTCTCTCTGTAATCTGATAAGGGCCCGTCCACCTGGGCTCCTGCCACTTCCTTTTAATGACCCTCAGCAAGACCCACTCCGCGGTGGGGAGACCAGGTTCCTCTGGTCTTTCTGTTAGGCTCTGTTTGTGGTGAACCTGCTGAGTAAAGTTAGACACTAATGCTTTTAACTCATCAAAGTATACCTTATGGTCCATTTTACGGTCCTCCTCACTGGTCAGTAAGCATACAGTTGGTCCTGGAAAGGGTCTTCCTGTAGTTAACTCATAGGGAGAAAAGCCAGTTCCATTATTAACAGAAGTTCTCACGGTCATTAATACGATATGTTATGCTTCCACCCAGTTCAATTTAGTCTGTGCACAGATTTTGCCCAATTTTTGTTTTATGTTCTGGTTCATCCTTTCGATCTACCCTTGAGACTGGGGATGGTACACGGTTCCAAAAGCATGTTTTAGGCCTAACATTTTTTCCACAGCCTGCAGATCTGTGTTTTTAAAATGTGTGCCATTGTCTGATCTAATTTTTGTTGGGAAACCGTGTCTGGGGATGTAATGGTTAATCAGAAACTTCACCACTGTTTTGCTGTCTTCTCTTCTTGCAGGTATGGCTTCTGGCCACCCTGTAAATGCGTCAACACACATCAATACATATCTGAACCCTTTAACAGGTTCCAACATATCAGTGTAATCTAGAATCACCTCCTGTCCCGGTCGGTGCAGGAGAGGAAAAGAACCTCGTTCAGGTTTTACTGTAGGTCGAATGTTGTACTTTAAACAAACAGTACAGGTGTCAACATATGCTGTTACCATATCTTTCAGATGCGGGTGTCACCATTGTCGAAGATTTCTTAACATTGTCTGCATCCCACGTGTGCTAATCCATGTGCTTCCTG